TATATACAGGGTGTCCCGAAGTCCCATGATGACCCTTGGTGAGAACGTAGAACGGATTGAGGTGAGCAAGAAAGTCCTGTGCCGTTTTGCGATATTCGCAATAGTTTTTGAGAAATTAATTATTTTGTCTCAACAAATCAGCGTACAGAAAGCGGCAGCGGAAAGAAAGATGCCTTCGGCCGACGTGCGACCGCGACACTCGCGAATCGTATCTCGCCGCATCCCTCCGCCCATAGCTACAAGACATAGACTCGCTATGTCTCGTAGCTATGGGCGGAGGGATGCGGCGAGATACGATTCGCGAGTGTCGCGGTCGCACGTCGGCCGAAGGCATCTTTCTTTCCGCTGCCGCTTTCTGTACGCTGATTTGTTGAGACAAAATAATTAATTTCTCAAAAACTATTACGAATATCGCAAAACGGCACAGGACTTTCTTGCTCACCTCAATCCGTTCTACGTTCTCACCAAGGGTCATCATGGGACTTCGGGACACCCTGTATACTGTTAGAAGTAAGCTTCAATAGATCATTACCTGACACGCTTGGAGGTGAGATACGCCCAGCAGTGGTTAGACCTCCGCTGTCGCTGTCCTTGTCCACGATGTCTTCGTCCTCATCCGTCCGGTCCTCGCTCTTTCTCCACATCGGCGGCGCGTCCATCGGTGAAAGTATCTTCAAATCGCCCATTTTCCCCATCAGGTTCTTTATCTTACCAGATACCGGTCTTCGTGACGTCTGACTGTTGTCCTCGGGTGGTGATGAGGTTCGAATGCTCAGCGTCTTCGGCGGGCTCTTCTTTGTCATACCATCGATATCCTCCTCGACGTTGAACGTCTCTTCGACGTCTGTTTTATTTCCTTCGATGTTTACATAGTTCTCCGGCTGATCCGCGACAATATTCAAGTCAACAGACGTCTTCACGTCGCAATCTACATTCGAGGAGTTCTTGTCCTCTTCGGGAAGTTTCTTTACCTCTTCGACAAGGTCTTGTTTTACCTTACCTTTCGATTCAGGCTTTGTTGCGTCATTCTTACACACTATCGTCTCCTTTTTGCCAAACAGATCATCGTAGTCGTCGTCTTCAAACAGAAGGTTGTGAGTCTTTGCGGCGCTTGAAAACAATTTGGTTCCCGGAAGAGCGTCTTTGCTCTTCTTCTCAACGTTAAGGATAGAAACATCCTTGGAGACATTGCTCTTTGGTTCGATCGATGAGTCTTTCCCCACCGAAGAGTGTTCTTTACTCGTCTTGACCGATAGGAACAAATCGTCCTCGTCTCCGAAGAGGTCAGTTTTTCGCTCGATTTTCGGTTTCGGCTTCGGCTTTGGCTTCGCGCCAAACAGATCGCCATCGTTGTCGCCGTCGTCATCGTCAAACAAGCTGATCCTCTTTGGCTCCATTTTTGTACTCGGTAACTTGTCGACGTTACTGCTCTTCGACGTCACCGGCTCCCGACTACGATTGTTAAACAGACTGTCCGAGACGGCGTCCTTCGACATCGACTTCGAAGTCGCACCAAATAAATCGACGTCTGGAACGTCCTTGCCGCCGAATATGTCCACGTCGTCGTCGAACAGGCCGGCTCCTCGTGGCGTCGGCTTCGTCCTGTCGGTCGACGCGACTGTGGCGAGGAAATCCGTACTCTTCTGCGACCTGGAGCCGGAACTCGCGGCGGAGAAGAGTTCGTCGCCGGAGTCGGAGTCGTCGAAGAGCGACGAGACCTTCGACTTGACACGCTTCGAGTCCGACTTGGAAGGCAACGGCGGTGGGCCGAACAGATCGTCGTTCTCGAACACGTCGTCCTGCAGCGCCGACGAAATGTTTTGTTGCTCCGATTGCCGGGAGGGTTGCTGTTGATTACTGCTACCGTTCGCCAAGTTGGAGTTGGAGGGATTGCACGTTCGAGCCGTAAACAGGCTGTCGCTGGTGACGCGTTCACGGTAGATCTCCTCGGACTTGAGCCTCGTCGAGCACATCTCCGGGTGGAAATTCACCCTGAAGAAAGACAATCGTTGAGTGTTTCTATACGGAAGAAGAATGCCGTTGAATCAACAGAATTGGTCAATAGTGTCGCGATTAGAGCAAATCTTCTTCATTGGCACTCAAAGGCGATGTTATGGAAGCTAATACTCGAATTATCAAACGACCGGTAGTGTCGCTTATAATATGTTGTATGTTTATAAAAATAAAAACTGAAATGATTAATCATTCGCGTAAACTTCTTGATATCATTACTTTTGTAGAAAATATAAAATTGTCTTGTATTTTTCAATAGAGTATTCGCGAGAGTACAATTGATCTGAATAGGGTTGTTTTAATAATATTTTTTTAAATATCTTTTAGCTAAGCTTTTGTTGTAATTTATGTATAACGATTTTTTTGTAAAGACAAATAATACGCCAAGGTGCGTGCATTTGGCTTCTTTTTTTTACCTTTTTTTTGAAAAAGTAATTTTGAAACAATACATGATATATTGATACAACAGCATTTTTTTTTCGTATAACAGGTTGCTATTTCGCGACTTATTGGACGAAGCTAGCATATGGAGTCAGGAATGTAATCAACATTCGTCTTTTGGTAAAAGCCAACGCTAATGAGACGGATAATTATATAGGTGATTCATACGAAGGGCCATTAGGACACAGAAAAAAGAAAATTCCAGTTCGTACAACCGATTAGGAAGCAGATGAAAATTCAGCGACATGAAATGATACCTCTGTTACTTCAACCGAAACATTCTCATCTGAAAAACACTCAGCTGCGTTACAAGTTGCTTGCAATAACCAAGAACGATTGACTGAGCAGAAGCTATCTACGGTAATCTTTCTGTTCCTACGGCTGAATTTTTCATCTGGTTCCTATTTTTGCTAAGCTACTAGAAAAATTCAGTTATACTATTCGATAAGATACTATTTAGTTATAGCAATTCGATAAGCAACTGGATGCGCAATAAAATTTCAAACTGTATATTCAGAAAAGCTCACAGATCAACGGTTGATCGATGCAAAAAGAATCCGCGAATCGCGAATAAACCGTGAGTCACATTTTCTGCAAAAGGGCTGCATCAGCGAGGTCTCAATGTCAGACATTTTATATCACGACCCGATTAGCGCGGTATAGAATAGTGAATTTCTATGCATGAGGCCGATTTATCAGGCCGCAAGCGACTTTTTCTTCCGCACCTCCCATTACGAGATGATGGAAAATTTCGATTCCGAGTCTGTTTTCGCGCTCTTCGCGATTCACTTTTCTCTTTATTGGTTTTTACGCGAGTGCGTCGTAATAAGCGCGTAGTTCGTTGTTCGCGCGCAAAACGGCCGGTTGCAAAATAGACAGGCGCGCAAAACAGTCGCTGAAAATAGGGCCACACGTTATCTTTGCGCCGCCTTAACACACAGCCGATGCATTTCGTACATTTTACTCGCGCGACAAACGGGGAGCAGAGAGATTCACAATACGAGCTTATCGCCCTTGTTATCTACCCGCGTTTCACCACGCATCATGGAAGAATTCTCTCTCTCTCTTCCTCTCTCTCTCTCTTTCTCCCACCCTCCCTCTCCCTCTTTCTCGATAATATCATAACATATCAAATTAGAGACAAGATATTTCTTGATGTTTTTGCGTATTATTTGTATTTCCCACATGCTTCTTTACTTGTATGTCTATGTACAAAATTTATATATATAATATGTAATTAATAACAAGTATAACAAAATAACAACAACTTTGCTCTTTAGGCTCTTGTTTTCATGAAATGGTGACCACTCCGGATTCTGCGAAACACGACGAAAACACGGAGGAACTTTTTTTCCGGAGTGATATGCAAGTCCTATTTACTGTTTTCTACCCGGAAAGCTTGCGAAAGTAGTCACGCTGGCCCCCGATCAGATTTTTGCGCGCGATGAGATTTATTGTAAAATAAATACGCGTATAGTTGAAGTGCGTGAGTGTGCCTATATGTACACACTTGGCGCGCGATTATATCTCATGTAAAAAAAATTGCGAGCGCGACGTCACTGACGCAAATCGTCCACTGCGAGTCTCGCGATATCACAGCCGGTGACAAAGTATAAAAGCCGCTGTCCGATTCGCGGGGGGCACCATTAAAGCTCGACAGAGGGTATCGTGAAGCTCTACGCGCATTTCGTTGCGCATTTCGTTGCGCATTTCGTTGCGTTCGTTCCGCGCAGTCTGACGGCATCATGAAGATATCGTCGCTGAGCGTACTCTTCATTCTAGTGTACATCGTGGGGATTGCTCTAAACATCTTGGCAGTGCGTAAGTACCATCGAAAGAAACACGATACAAAGAATAATACACACTTGTCCCACTCGATCGGCCCATATTTGTTTTTTCCTCTTGTTCGGATTTAATATTTAAAAATTTTCATACTTAATATTCCATTCAATCCAATAATTTCTGAGAACAATTATGGGCACGAATGTCTCCTAATAGCCTTTAAATTTCTTGAAATAGAATCTTAATCAAAAATTGAATGAAAAGTAGCAGTATTCTCACTTGAAGCGATGATAGAAACACCGTCGTTCAAAATCGCAAGAATGAATGAATGTTTCATTCAAGCTTACACAGAGAGAATTTTACAGCAAGAATCGCTACAGAATTTTGTAGCCGATGAATAGACCGATATTCTGCGGCAATTCTACAATTGCCTAGTAGAGATATTCTGTAATTGAGTAACCTTTCATTTCATATGTGCTATTTATATTTTTAAAGTTGAAAAATTTGCCATCAAAAACGTTACTATATTTCTAGCTGAATTTATTATGTCCCTTAATAGGACAGATTTAATAGGCACTGATAGTCTACATTACATTCAAAAAGTACCCGGAATTGTTAGATAAAACGCAAAGTAATTATTTATTCAGTAATATTTATCTTATTTTCTTCAAAATACTCTCCATTTGATGCATTGCACTGGTGCCAACGTTTGACCCAGTCCTCAAAGCACTTTTCGTACGCTGAAATTAGTATTGCCTTCAGCTCTCGTTGCGAATTTTTTTTTATGGCATCAATCGATTCAAAACGCTTTCCTCGAACAACTTGAGTTTAGAAAACAGAAAAAAATTACAAAGAGCCAAGTCAGGTAAATACGGTGCTTGCGGAATCACGTTCGTTGAGTTTTTGGTTATAAGTTCTCGTACAAAAATCGATGTGTGCGATGGAGCATATTATGGTGCAAAAAGTATGAATTGTCTTTCCATAAATCTGGTCTTTTCCGACGAATATTTTCACGTAAACGCTTCATAACGCCCACATAATACTCTCTATTAACTGTTTGGCTTTTGTGTTTTAATTTTTTCAACGTTTTCATCAGCTTTGGACGTTGATAATCGACCAGAACGAAGGAAATCAGTAATCATTTGATGACCTTCTTTGAATGCCTTATATCATTATATTGTGTTTTCGATAGACACGATTCACCAAAGGCCTTTTGTGAATCGACACATGAAATTTCGTTAGCAACACAAAATTTAAGACAAATTTTTTGCTCAACAGATTTATCCAATATAAAATTCGCAGAAATCACTTGTAATAGGCTAATAAAAATAGCTGCCATAAACAAATTAATTGACAAATCGTCAATTAGTTTACAAGACATTCAAGGACAGTGATGCCAACTTAAAAACACAAAATTTTTTTCATACATTCAACGTGTATCTTTTAAATAACAAATTCTGGGTACTTTTTGAACGTAATGTATTTTTTTGCGCTACTAGAAATAGTAAAATTGAAAAAAGAATTTATATGAGAAAGAACCATAATATTCTCTCCGCGTAAAGTGATTTATGATTCCATATGAGAAAATGTTTCAATCATCCAGAGCGAGTATGTTCCTCTGACGATGAAGTACATCAGACTCACTCTTCAATTTCGAAATATTTACTCGACGTGGTTCGAAATGGAGAATCCACTCTATGCGAATAAAAATCACTCAAATTCGAGTGAAATTTCACTCCAAGAAATTTCGAGAGCACAAGGAATTTAAATTGTCTCTTATTGCAAGACAAAACGACATTCGCTTATCACGAAATGTAGATAATCGCGGAATGCATCAAATCTCACGAGTCACATTGGACAGACAAAAATTCTATCGCCGAGACATTCGGACTTTTTCCACTTATCTGGAACACGTCCGGATAAACGAAAAAAAGTTCATTAAAAAGAGAATCGACGAATTTTTCGCCAATGCAGCCAGGAAATTTCGTAAAATTAAAGTTGCGACTTTTTTGTTCGTTCCAGCTGAGATATGCGTATACCACAACAGACAATTGACTATTGGCCAAAAATATACCGATTGCTACGTTAACGTGACGTGCCACGCAAAAGCAGTAATCGAAGTAACGAACTCGTAAGTATCGATGATCACTCACTTACAAAGTTAAAACTACTATAGCCAGTCGGATTTACCTAAGAACAATGATGGAGTTGCGTAAGCGCTTTTTCCGTGAAAAACCGAACGGCAAGTGACATCATAAAGCTTACATTTACAGTCGCTCGTTGACTGTTCGTTAAATATTCGTTGACCAATACGAATTAATGCGATTTAATCTGCGAAGAGTTCGTAGTTTCCAGTCCATTCTCGGGCGTTACAGCTCACGGACTGAAGGAATGACTGTTAGAAGCTTGCAGAATTTAGATTAAATTAAATCTTTATAAAGATTCTTGAGGTCTTCGCTCGAATTTTCGCTGCGCGGCTCCGAAATCGCAATAATGAAGATTAACATTTTGAAAGATAAAACAAGACCTAATAAGAGCTGGACATTTTATTCAGTGTAGAGCATTAATCGATGAAAATTTGCCGATTATTTCGAGTAAAATAATCGGCAAGTCAATAATCGAAATTAATCAATCGTCATACATCACGAATAATTTAATCGATTGATGAAATTAATTATTAATTAGTTTGTGATCAATTATATCAAAGTTTAATTAATAATTAATTTTCTCGATGAAATTACTGGACAATTTATATGCATGACGATTCGTCAATTTTGATGATTGATTGGCTGATTATTTTGGTCAAAGACAATTTTTATCGATCAATGTGTACCCAATACTGATTTTATTAGCCCATTCCTGACTCTTGTTTTTACCAGATGATTGTTAAATCTCAAACTTCTAACTCTTGTTTTCTTACTGTTTGAACCGGGATTTCGATTACAGATGCAGAAACTACTTCTGCCAGCGACCGAGTATGTGGCGCGGCTACAAACGTTTCGACAGCTCGAAGCCCTATCCGGACTGCTGTGGAGGATCGATTTGCGCGGACGGTCGTATAAGCTACTACAGCACCCCAGAAAGAATCTACAGACCGAAAAGATCCATCAAACGGTCGCCTCACGTGATGGGAATAAAATTTGCCTGAGCGTCGGCCGCGTCGCCGTGGCCGTAAACGAAAATTTTGCAGCAGCGCGCCCCGCTGACGCATAATTTTTCAACGTCGACACTTAGCACTGACTCGGAAGATCCTCGGAAAGCAATCACGCGAAGCAAAATGAAGAATTCACCGCCGGATCGTTGATCGAATTCACTCGTGGGCTTGGATTTGAGGATCGTCTCGTATCTTCCAAGGGCATCCCCCGCGAGAGTTGCTAATCATCCGGCGGTCAATACTTCTCAAAACCACCCCCGGCTCAGGGCAGTCCTGACAGACTATCTCTTCACGATCGTACTTGGTCTGTTCCTTTTTAACTTAACTAGATTGCCTTTGAAGTAAAACGAATATATAACAGCGTTGAAAGGACACGTTGAAAGAACAAAGTTTCAGTTCGGCAGCACTAGTTCGACTAAGAAGAACAGACCTCCTCCTTTCGAATCACACGAAGCAGTTGTCTTTGCTTGATCGAAACGAGAGTTCATTATTTTTAATTTTCTCTTGACGCAACGGGAAAGAAATAAAAAGAAAGAATTCCGTATTCTTACACACGGAGAAAATATTATAATTACGAGTAAAAATTACGTTAGAATTATATCCAATATTTTTGTATAATCGAAATAATCGGCAAATTTTACAACTGGACACTGTATTGAAATTGTGATAAAAATATATAGTAATTTCAGTCATAAAATTCTGCATGGCTCACATACGCATAAGATAACAAAGATGCAATTTTGTTGCAATTTTTACTACACTATTTTCGCCGTGTACGCGGTGTACAAACGTGAAATAAAAGGCCGGTAATATCAAGAATGCTCCGTTCAGTTGCATCTTGCACGAATGATCATCGTTATTCCTCTCTTTTCCTCTTTGTTTTTTCTCTTGAGAGAAAGAGTAAATTCGAGAACGGAGAGTATGCGGATACACGTAGATACGCGGAAAGATGCAACTGCGAGGATATTTTTACACAACGAATCGGGAATCAATGCGAGATTTACGTCATACAGTGATACAGTCGTCAGGTATTTGCTTGCGTCAAACTTTCGTTTCGACAGAAGTCGCGGCACGAGTTTCTTGCGTATATATACATATAAGTTAAATAATAATAATATTCGCCATATCACCACATATGTGTGACATATATACAACATATATATTCTATATGACATTATGCATTATTCCCACTCTTGTAATCATTCGACATGTATCTCTCTCTGTATGTAATAACAAATAAAATACGTATGCAAAGCAAAATTCGGCGTTATCGGGTGAAGTGCGATAATCTCTAGTGATGAACTATCAGCGGTAAACATTTGTCGTTAATCAATAACTTTCTCTCGGAGATATGCATCGCGATGTTAGATTTTCCATTCTCAAAGATTGGGGGACCTTGCATCGCGACGATAGTTGTTGACGTGCAGATAACAAACTATCGCAATTCGTGATCAACGCGAGATCCGAAGACAATTTGCAAAATACTGGAAATTAATTCACAATAATAAAGTGATTCATTATCGTCGAACAATAATATTATTTTTTGACACACAGCGCGTATATCTTTCCATTAGCTCGGTCTTTTATCTTTCGGCACTCAATTTTGTTTTCGAAATCGATTAAGGGGCGACAAGGACACAAACTGATTAATATGCTGCTCTCGGAAATGTCGATTTCCAGACAAGAAAAAGAACCTGTATCGATAAGTCGACCGTGATACGTAGCGTATTATTGCCAAAAATAGTTCTGGTGGGGCGTCTTTATCGCGATATGACCCGCTCTTTGACACGAGTTCCTCTCAGACACTCATTCGTTCAATCGATGTTTGTTCGATTTCTGACCTCAGCCCACATTTCATCCCCGTCGTCATGCATTCGCTCGGATCATTATCTTGCATCAAGACGACAGAAACGATTCGATTCCATCGTCCGTCTGTCCGCCGCGGCTCGACGAAGTCTGAAAAGCTGGTACACTGGAAAAAATTACCTTAAAATCAAGAAATATTTCTTTGATGGGTGCCATTAACATATTTATTTATATATATAAATAAATATGTTAATGGCACCTATCAAAGAAATATTTCTTGATTTTAAGGTAATTTTTCCCTCAGCGTAACGATCGCAAAAAATAGCTCCCAAATCGGTTTCACGTAAATTGATGCGGGAGTAATCAAACGTCGCAGTCCACGCAAACACGGACGTTGCGGGGCATAATTAATGATCATGTAAGTAGCGAGACGAGCGACAGAGAGGAGAGAAGCGCGCAATAGATAAACTCGGCGGCGAGGAGAAGTCTAAAAGATAATGGCGGTTCGTAACGTGCCCGGCACGTTCGCGGTGATTAATGACTTAGCAGACTTGATGTTAACTCCCCGTCGTAGTCTTGTTTTCTAAAATCGTGCTGCTACATCCACGATATCCGCGATATCGCACGTTACGCATCGCTCGTCGAACGGAGGATGAGACATTCTCAGAGGTCAACCGGCATGTAAATGAAGGAAGGAAGACGATATATAAGATGATTTTCGCGGATTATTATGTTTCTTCCTGGCGTATTCTTCGACGAGAAATTTAGGATGAAGGGGTTTCTCTGCTGCGCGATCTTGCTGCTGGTGTGCGTGTTTGTGCAAGTGCAAGGTATACCGTGTAATTGAGGAGGATCGTCGTAATAGAAGAAGAGATGCTGCGGATGCCACGGAATTGTAACAAATTTATGGAGAAAGAGAGAGGGAAGGAGGGAGGGAGGGGGAAGGGGAGGAGGAGAAAGAGAGAGAGAGAGAGAGAAAGAGAGTCTAGAAGATCGACCTCGTGGAACTCTTTCGCAAATCGTAGTCTCGTTGTATGAGTACCGTTGTACTTACACCGCGCGATAGTAATTCTAATTTCAATTTCTCGAACAATCCGCGGATCAATTATTACGTTGAACACATAGAAATCTGGTATTAGTATAAATCTGGTATTAGCAGAAAGTTTGGTTAATTTAAACAAATGTTCTTCTCTGTGTAGTTATCAACGTTACTAATCAATAATTTAATAATAATAATAATTTAATGACACTAAAAATGTTACAATAATTAAGTTAACAATTTGATTAGTTAATCACTACCAACATTATCATCAAAGTTACATAGTAAAAGAATATACACGAGAAATTGACTATCAAATAATACTGCGAAAAAATGGACGAAAGCTGTTTTACACATAAAGTGATCATTTGTTTGCGCAGGTAATTGCGAATATACGAACGGCGAAATTCTACCTGTGGGTACTCATTATCGCGATTGCCAACAGATCAAATGTAACGAAGATGGTTCGATGTCTATGCTCGGGTGAGTCGAAATTTTATATGAATCTCTCAGCATAAGTTCTGTACTCAAAGAGACCTTCGCTCTATCTCTGTACCAATTTATATCGCAATCTCGATTCTCATTTCCTTCCCATGTCTCGTTTCTTTCTAGATGTCCATTGTCGCTATGCACGCCAGGAAACCAAATCGGTTATCATGAATTGGATGTCAGCAAGCCTTATCCGGAATGCTGCGAAAGACCGATTTGCAAAACCGACTAGACTTACACGACGAAATGTTCTCCGAAACTTCACCTTTGACACTTAATTTCAAATTGACCTATCGCGTTTTACGATTTTTATTACTTTGTTGTATTAAGCTTCTCTCTTCTCTAATTGCAATAATGACTAATGGTGATTTGTTATCTCTCGTGCAACAGAACACGTTACTTGTTGCTCGAATGTTGTTTGTACTCGTCATTCTTTTCTCATAATTTTTTTTGCGGCTGACCGCGAAGATTTCTAAACTTGCGGACTATTGTCACGCGATACAAACATGACGCTCTCTTCTAGCTAGACCGTTACTTTCGCGTAACTTCTTAAGGTTAAACTAAGGAATGTGGCGTTTCTGGCACGACTCAGCACGATAACGCTACTTTTAAATAAACGCTACTTTCGCTCGACCGACTTCGATTGTTACTACCTCTATGATTCCTCTACTTCTCGGAGTTAACAGAAAAAATTGATTAAAGCTTAAAGAATTTAATTAAGGGAATTAATTAAATAATTGGAATTCAGATTTGATTTATCGCGTATGTTGGAAAAATATTTGGCGCGTGCGCCGAATACTGTCAAACATTATCATTCTACCATTCAAACTTAGTCACACTAAGTTCAAGCTCTTATAGGCCTTATAGACTCTCTCTTAATTATATATACACCTTCCGAACTTTTGACACATAGTTTAGTTTTAACGGAAGGACTATAGAGAAATCCACAACATTGAAACAATTCTTAGATAAATGTCACTTTTCTACACGGAATACGATATTGCTTGCATCTGTTACTTGTCTGGCAATATTTAAGATTAATGGAAGATACGACAGTCTTCCAGACACATCTCGAGGATGTGATAATTCGCGCAGATGAATATTTAACAGATACCGCCCTCAAATCACTTCGCTGCAAGTCGCATCTCGTGCGATTTTTACCGTTCACCAGCCTTTACTCGAGAGAAGATCACATCGAGGAATTGTTACTTGCCTGCCATTATTTGCAGTTAGTGAAAGATACAATAGTCATCTCGAGAATGCGATAAGTTGCGAAAATGAATGCTTAGCGGGTGCTCCTCTCAAGTCACTTCACTCCAAAAACCACACTCGCGGTGCAACTTTTATCGTTCACCATCTTTCACTCGATAGACAGACACGTCGATCCTCAGGGAATCGTTCCACGCGAATAAACGTCGCTACAACGCGAATCGCTTACAGTAGTTTTTATCTTCACTATTTTTACGTCGTCGTCATCGTTTTACGTTTCTTCAAACTAGTGGCGCGGCAGAAAGAGAGTCACTGGCAACAGGCAACATTCAGCCGCGCTGAAGAAGCTCGCCTTGGACTGGCGTATTTACTCGCCACTTCTAGTGCGTAATGGGCAAGACGAGTGACTAATGTTTGGGTCATCGATTCAATGACACCGTAAGCATTTGGCACGCGTGTCAACACGATAGAGGGTGGCTTGGTAAGTCCGGAGGGAAGCGAGCGAGACGGACCTAGACCGTTCGGTACCTTTAACGAGCTGAATGCCTGCCGGTTATTAAATGATCCGGGTGCCGGTCGCATCGTTGGTAATGACGGTAACGATGAGAGATGCTCGTTTGCATTCTGGATGCGACGCGCAACGGCCGCGTCGACGAAGGACTGCAGAAAGCGCATACGTAATTGAAGCACGATCTCTTTGTTAGGTGCTGACCTCGGGAAGCTTTGGTATCGCGTGTCATCAGATAGGTTTCCCGATCGCACATGGTGTACGTGTACGCGTGCATATATGTGAGCGACTTAACACTTTAACAGTATCGTTTAATTAAATTCGATAAATTTGATATCTAGTTCGACGACGCGCGCGATTCATTACATCCTCCGTATACTCGATATTTAGTACAATCTAGGCCGACTTAATAACTCCGTGATTTCATTGACAGTTGATAAATGTGTCGTCTACTAATATCACTTCGAGTACTGAATATACTTTTCAAATACGTGACGCACGACAGCGAGGAAAAGCCGAGCGTTAGTTCTTATTTTATCGGCCTTTCTAAATAAAGAGCAGTGACCTCTTCTGTGCTCGGCGATTCTAATCGGTCAGAGTATGTCCACATATGTGTGACCGTGTTGGAAGGTTCGCGGAATGCTCTGTAGAACGTTCTCTCTTTAAGAGAGAAAGAGAGAGAGAAAAAGAGAAAGAAAAGAGAGGGAGAGGAAAGAGAGAGAAAAACAGATCGAATTAAGAGAAAAATAACGACTTACCACAAACCGGATCCCGCTGTGTTATCGATGCTGGGCGGTTGCATCGACACCCCGCTGCTGTTGCTGTTCTCGATAATCGCGGATATGCTCTCCGTGGGATTCTCGGCCGCGATATTATCGTTTAGCATAGCTCTCTCCGCAGACACCGGCTCGGTGCTCCTCGCGCTATCGTAATTTCCTGGCGCGTCACTATCGGACGAGTCAGACGACTGTCGCCTCATCATCCGGCTTGACAGTTTGCTCTCGATGTCGGACGCCACGACGTGTCTGAGTATCGACACTCCTCCGACTGGTTTCTACGATTTATTTCATTCGTACGATAATCTCCATTTGAGCTAATCCCGAATTATGGAAATATAATACGATGAACATATAACATTATTATTTAATGAGTTAATATATGAGTGATTTATTAGAAGTTATATATTAGTTATATATTAAACTACTATATATATATATATATATATATATATATATATATATATATATATATATAAAATCAACTTTATTATTATTATTATTTTTATCAATCACAAGTGAACAATCAAATCAATCGAGTAGATGTATTTACACTGAGAGAAATTACCCAATAAAAAATTATTAAATTAAAAATTTTCAACTATCAACTATCAATAAACTATCAATGTATAAACTATCAATTTTCAATCAAAAACCGATCAGGATATCTAATTTCATTTAATCGAAATATCCATTTGATAATTTTTTACACAATTTCTCTCGACGTAATCAAACGTTCATCAAACATAGATATCATCCGTAGATGATACTCCGGTATCATCGAAGTCTGTATACAAATTGTACAAAATTGTAATGACAACTTACCTTCTTATTTGAATCTTGTGTTGTATCCACAGACGTGTTCATGGCGGATTTTTGCGGTTGCTTTTTGGGAGCACCGAATAGATCGCCATCGTCGTTCTCTTCGTCGCTAAACAGGTTTGCAACTTTGATGTTAGTCTCTGGCGTACTCGTGGCAATGTTACCGCCAGCAGACCCGGGTGCTATAACGTCTAAGAATTTCTTCGGCATATCCTCCGCATTCTTCGCCTGAGCATTTCCGCTAGCCGGGGAATGCATTGCGCGTTTCTTAACAATATTTTTCGAAGAGAAAATATCGTCAGAGTCCTCTTCCGAGTCGGCGTCGGCGAATAAATCGTCAATCGCTGATTTTGGTTTCGTTGCTGAAAATGCAGTCTCACGTTGAAACATGTAATTCCACCGAAGTAATTCTAGGGAAGTATAAAAATACGTACAAATTATACTGATCGGCGGCGGTACATCTATACTGGCAGGTATGATATTGCTCTTGTAAGATTTGATCGGTCTGTCCTTCCACAGATTCGTAGACACTTTCTCGTCGAAAAGATCCTTCTTGTCGCTGAACAGATTGTCGGAAGCGTCGTTGAACACGTCATCATCCCTCTCTGACGCGAACAGATCATCTATGAAAAGTAGATATACTTTACTAAAAAGTCTTATTTTATAACGAGATATTTCATATATAACTTGTACTTTATAGTGAGGACTGTTAAGGTCCTACCGCTGCGGAAATCTGGATTAATAACGTCAGATCGCGTTTCTCGCTTCTGGCATCATCGATCCAGAGTTCCGCAGCAGTGGGATCAAGAGCCTTAACTACATACCTTTGAATCTATTAATCGATGACTCATTAGCTTCGCCCACAGTGACAGGCTTTTGCGCTTGGCGAACGGTGCCTAGTCGTTTGGCCAACTCCTCCGCGAAGTTTGGCGTCGTTTCATTCGAGGTCTTCAGCGAAAAATAAATCGTTAAATACGCAAGAAATGTCAAACAGTATCAATGCACACGCGCTGAATATTTTTCCGGACTGGCAACGAACATGATGAATCAACCTTCCACATCAGACTTTTATTACTTCAAATTATTAATATTAATAAACCTAAATACTCATCTCCAACAAATTATTTTAACTATGCATTTTATTTCACGATTCCTTTTACGATGTTAATATTTATTTTTAAATGTTGCGAAAAATACTGTCCAGAAGTCGAGTCTGGATCTCCTCATTTGCTGAGCGGGACGGCGTACTAATTCGATACCACCGAAGCTTCGATAGTATTCCTCGCAACACAAGTGCCTATTAGATTAAAATGATCTCCAAAATATATTGGTTATCACTTTGATAATTACCTTCGATACGGTGTTAGGTGTGATGGACTCGGAGGCGGAATTAATGTTATTCTGAGACAGTGTATCCACCTTGCTGTTATTCATATATGACATATTGCTGCTCGGGTTATTGTAATTGTCCGAATCGCTGGAGGATGACGACGACAACCTCGCAATATTGATTTCCGGATTGTGCCGGCTGTTGAAGACTTTTTGCGCGCTCATGTCCTCTTCCTTATCACTCTCTGATTCTTCTCTTTCTTCGTCTGGCTGCTCGGATTCGCTGCTGCTGCTCTCTAAGCCAATCTTACTCGATGTCGTCCACTTGTCGGAACCGATAACGTACGGCAAAGGCCGATCCTGATATGGATCGTTGGGACCCACCATGACACTGTAAGCCTATGTTTTAATATCCGTGCGATTGAATCGTACGAATTCAAGTAACAGTGCTCACCTGACTACTACTTCACCATCGTCGTCTTCTTCACTGTCACTGCAAGCCACATCCATCATTTTGTACTTCTCATCCATTATGTTCAAACCTTGCTTGACACTCTGGCTTATGCTGGCCAGCAGATTTTCTGGCGCTGACTCTTGAGTCTTTACATTCTGATCAATCAATGAGAATTATTCAGACAGTATAAGGTGGTTTCATATTTCAGAATTGTCTTTAGAAATATTTGTTAGAAGTAGAGTCCCTCTCCTTATTCTTTATGCACCAAAATAATAAACAAAGCAAGTACTTACTTCTTGCTTCTCCTCAGGATTTTCCTTCATCTCTATGTCATCTTCCTGTACACGACTTTCAATGAATTGAGTATTGGCTAGTGCTAAAGATGTATTGGTGACATTGTCCACTAATATTCCTGTCTCTTTCAACTGTGTTGTTAACGTATCTAAAGCTGCTTGGGTTTTATTGGCTTTGGATACCAAGTTCTAGAATATTATATAAAATAAAATGTTATACATTATTGAAACATGAATATGTCAAAAATAAAAGCATAAAGCATACCTCAGAAAATTGTTGCAGATGTTTAAGAAGTCCAACATCACCCGCTAGACTCCATTCCCTTCTTTTCTTCCTCATTTCTTCTGTGGTCCACGGGTGATCCCATGATTTTTCTATTCTGTCTGACATGTCCTGTCATAGTAAAATAAACATTTGTTAATTCTTACATTCTTGTTGGTTGTAAATTTTCACAACCAGAAATATCACGCAGATAATAGATACATACATTATACGCGATACGTCAACAAATACATGTATACTGTTTCTATTCAATGTAGATAAACACTAACGTTCATTACTACTCTCTTTAGCTTAAATTAGAAAGTAATTTAAAATGAAGAATGATTCGATAAGAATCGCAACTGTGAAAATAAGACAAAGGAGCATATAATTGTATTTCGCATATTATATCTGATGAAACGAATATCGCTTCAAAAATACGGTTAATAGATATCATTATTTGCACATGCTAACCTAAGGAAATTATTTCGAAGCAAGTGTCAGTGTTACTCCATATCTCACTCACCATGTCAAGCAACTTTGTGCTCGTGTCCGAGTACAGAGAAGACGACGTAACTCTCTCCGTTGCGATTACATTTAAGCGAATCAAGATACACGAGAAACTGTGTCTAATCTCTTACTAAAAAATCCACACTTCGTGGAAAAAAAGGAACATCCACCAACACACACAGCTATCCATTGGATTATTGCAGTGAATACAAACTCCCCCCTTGGAAAAGAAGGGACAATTTTCAGCGCCACCTATACACAACCTAAGCGCCACCTGAGCGCAATCTGAGTGCCACCTGAGCGCAACTTGTGTGCCACATGAGCGACTGTTGATACTTGTCAACTTGTCAAGTCCATTTGATAAGCATACAAATTTTTCGAAGAATTACAGATTTTTAACAAACAACAGTACTCAATGGTCTTGCTGATATCAAAATATAATTTATATATATATACACTTTGTATCGCATATATTTTGCAAACAGCTAACTTAAAATGAGTGAGATATCAAGCTGGGAAGACATAGAAAATGATCGTAAGTAAAAAACATTTGTTCATCAAATAAAAGTTTATAGACTGTTGGGGACAGCTATTAATATACACATTAATTTCAGAATTCTTTAAACAACTTTTGGATGCCGATTCCAAAAAAACTGATGTCAATTCGCTATTGTCAGTGGCTCAACAATTAAGCAAATTAGGGCAAGGTATTGTTTCAATTGTTTTATATCATTAAAGTGTGAAAGTAGCATATTATCATATTTAAGAAGTTTTTTTATATATGATATAATTTTTTCGTTATATAATTAATATAAAAAGTAAATATTATTTCTAGCTATTGAGGTGTTAAATGCAGAATTGCAGAGACAAGTACTTGCCAATCATGAGGATTTACTATCTCAGGCAACATGGGTTGAAAAGTTAGAAGGAGTACTCTTTATAATGCAATCTCACATACAAGTGAGTATTGTAGAACAATATTAATATTAATGCCAAAGTTAAGTTGGAAAGTGATATAAAAAACAATAAATCTTGTTTTAGAGTCTTCTATCAGCAGTTGAGCGGTTACGTGGGAAAATTATTGACCCATTTAACAGAATAGAGATGCAAACAATTGTATTGGCACGGCTTCATGAAACTTCTGATCTATTGAGGAGAGTTGCTAGAATGCAACATTTATCCAAACGTTTAAATTCTCAAATGAGCAATGTTACTCAAGGACCAGATATTGTCAAAGCTGCCAATAGTCTACATGAACTTGGTATTACTTTTGTGCTACTTTTTCCTTACCACAGTATTATATGTCTATATATTACATGTAAAATTTACATACACAGAGCAATTAATGGCAGACACAGACCTTAATGGTTTAGATGTGATTGCGGATGACCAACAGGCTGTAAAAGCTCAAAGAGCTACAGTACAAAGAATAGCCACTCATACACTAACCCAGGGATTACAAGCAATGGACAGAACAAAGGTGCTTCCTATGAATACTCTTTATCCTATTATCCTTTATCCTAATACTTATTTTAAAATATTCTATTATTGATTATATTGCAGGTAAGCACAGCTGTGCAGGTGTTTCAAAATTTAGGAATATTAAACGGAGCTGTGGATACAACTATAGAGTCTACCCTGGCTGAAATAGAGAAAATTTCTACAGAATCGTTAGACGTATCTTTGGTAGCAAATCAAGATTTTGGGAAACGAGGAGCACCGGGCAGAGCTGCAATTCCGTCGCCTGGATCATCTGGAAATTTACGTACGAGAATTTGGGAAAATTTGGAGCGTCTTTTCCAAGATACTTTATATACTCAATGTTTGCAAGTAATTAGACTAAATTGTACAATGTTATGTGTACATTTTTAAACTTGCGGCAATTTTCAAAGAAGATTATTATTTCAGATCGAATTGTTGCAAAGAGTATTGTTAGAACATCACACGAAAGGTTTTCACGATTTGTCTGAGAAATTTTGGGATAAAGTAAATACACTTCTTGCGAAAGTTTTGAATGAACGAGCTCAAGGTAAATTATATGTATTTATATATAATATATGTGCACTAAACACTTGTAAAGTTTAAAACTCGTCTTGCAGGATCGTCATTTGTAAAACAGGCTTTAGAAGGAGAATATCCCAAATTTCTAAGAATATTTCTGGACTTGAGTAAACGTTTAAAAGAAAGATCTCACAGTATTGGGATTTATGGTATCGAGTAAGTATCAGATCTCACATAAATTAGCATAATAACATATAAAATATTAATCTACACATTTTTTTATTACAGTCGCAATGTTCTGCAACCTTTTGAAAATGCGTATTTATCGCGTTCAGTGTCACGACTTTTGGATCCAGTACACAATATGTTTTCTGGAGAAGGATTACCAACGCACGATGAAATCGACGGTCTTATACGTACAATTACAAAGTAAGTTCAACACACTTTTTTCTGTACATATATCTTACCCATTGAAGAAAATTCAGTAAAAGTATATTCTATACTTAGTGAGCTGAGCGTATCATTGGTGGATGACGGACTCTCGACAGTCGTGGCGCGGAATGTAGGAAAAGCTATAAGATTATTCTGTTTGAAATGCGAACAGAGCGTGGTGACTGGCGGTGAGGCTAGTCAAGTAATCGATTCTCCCACTACCGGTCAGCAAACAAATGTCACGCTCGCAAATCTTCTGCATTATCTTTCTAGCCAGACAAATCGCGTAATAGCGAATTTGGCAGCTGGCTTAATCTCCGAAGGTAGCGTCGTCATTACCACAGCGCTCAAAGAGACAGATATGTTAACGAAGAATCTGCTCGCGCCGTTATTGACTTCTATTAGCGATGCGATCGAAAGCATTATCTTGACGATGCACGACGATTCCGAATTTAAAGAGTAAGTATAATCTCTGCTTCTTTCTTTTTAATGTATATTATTTCTATTTAATGTATATTTACAATATAAGATTTCAATATTGCATATTAATACAAGCTTGATTGCAATATAGCACTAGCAGCCCTCTGGGAAAAGAAATCGGCTGTTCTCTTTACATGCGTGAATTACAAGGGTTCATTTTACGATCCGTGAATACATTTTTATTACCATACAAGAATCAAGTAGTTGTAGCTGAAAGGTGAGTTGCTTTTACTTTTTTTCTAACATATATCGATAACAGATTATTAAATGTTAATATTATTTAAGTTGCAAAGCTGTTGCGTCGAGATGCATAGAGTTATTCGTACGTCATGCTTGCCTCTTGAGACCTCTGACTGATTTTGGAAGAGCAAAACTTCTAATAGATTTTGGTCAGGTACGCCATTATCACATTAGATGAATGTAACAAGTATATAAATTGATAATTACTAATAATTTATAATTACTAGTAATATACTAGTAATATACTAGTAATATACTAATAATATACTAGTAATTAAATTAATAATTACTAGTAATAATTTATAATTACTATAAATTGTCATAATTGAAAGATAAATTGTTTTAGATGGAAGTAGCTGTAGCACCATTATGTCGAGGTGGTCAAATGGGTTTGCTCGAGCAACAGCAATACAGAATTTTGCGAGCGTTAAAAACCTTGCTTGTTCTCAGTCCTAAAGAAATGATTGAGAAGATTCTAGAACAAGGAGAAAGCAGCGTACCACCGTCTCTTATTCTTTTACACTTGTTTTCTGGTGCGCCGCCCGAGATAACGTCACCGCATCAGGTAAACAAATTTCTTAAAGCAAAATAATTTATTTTTTAGAGGAACGTTTATAATATTATATCACGTTTGTCATAGAGCGCTGGATGGTCCATAAGCAGATTGTCTCAGTGGATGGACAGCCATCCAAACGAAAGAGACAGATTGGCACTGTGTAGTGGACCATTGGAACGTTATCAATTGACAATTCGACAACAAAATCTTCCAACATTCCACCCTTTATTTCCGCAAATGATGAAATTAGTAAACTTGAGAGAACATTAAAGTTAATTAAAGATATACTATATTATGTAATTGTATATTTCTCCTTTGTATAAAAATATTCTTCTGAGTTTGTATGAACTAAAATGCACAACTTAATGCACTATGAAAAAAAAATATAATTGCGTTTACAAGAGTATACTAAACGTACTAAAAAGAAAATATTCAAAACAAAAATTTCATTATCATGTTACATTTTATAATCTATGAATATAAGTTGTCCTATATATGTGAAATCCTATTATTAATGTAATACTTAATGGTATAACCCATCTGATTCTGCTTAGAGGTTTTTTGGGAGTTATAAAAGTTGCTGGTATACCAATAGCATATTTCTTATCAACCTACAATATAGAAATAAAATGAGTATATTAAATGCGATGACATTGTATGTAAAATCTATATCAAGAAAATATTTACCTTTTGCACTAATTTCTTTAAACGATTTACTTCATCTTTTAATGCTTTTAGAGTATTTTCTGTTTTTTCCAGTTCTTCTTCATACTTTGCACTTTCCGTGGAGTCGAAATGGATATCTTTTTTTGCACATTGTGTCAAATTATTTTTAATATATTGAAAACTTGAAGTTATCACACAAATTTGACGTTTCATGTTTAGCAGTGAATTAATACTATCATGAATTCTACACAACCAAATGTGTACGTAATTATTTTGCTTCATATATAATTGAATTATGAAAAAAATATTAAACATACGTGTATAGTTCAGATTTCTGAACAATTTTGATGCTGTTCACTCCCCATTTTTTACAATGAATTTTATGAAGATTTTCTAAAAACTGTTCTCTGTAAATTTGGAGATTGATTCCTAAATGGCAGAGATCATCTTCCGTCAATTGTAAAAAAGTTTTAAGATCCATCCCTTGAAATAGGATGCTATATCTTTCCAAATTCATCCCTTCTAAAATACGATATAATTCGAAATCTACAGTTTCCTCTTCTCTTTTAGGATACAATTCTGGAAATAAGTTTTCCCAAGTTTCGTTGTGCAACATAGGTGTATCTCCTCCCATCAAATCTTCTAACAAAGTAGATACCTGGAAAAAAATAAAGTTTAGTATCATTAGAGGTGAAATTAAGAATATTTATAACCTGTGTGGATTGATATTCCTTAGCAATTTCCTTGAGAGTAAAATTAAATTTGTCTAATAATGTAACATCTGCACAATGTTCCCAAAGAAGTTCCACTACATCAACCTTATTATTTATGACAGCATAAGTTAAAGCCTGTAATAAAATCATTAAGTTATTGGAAAAGAACTATGATATTTAGTGATGTTGAAACTTACGCTTCTCTTGTTATAATCATAAGCATTGATATTTGTCGCGTGTTTTAGAAGTTCAGTGACAAAATCTATATTTTGTGAGGCACAGGCACGCATTAGGGCTGTTTCTCTGCAAAATCATAATTATCAATAGTTATCAAAATTACTTATATTAACATTAACAATAAATATAAGTTAACATCATAAAAAAATTCAGTCTTAATTTAATAAAAATAAATTCACCTATAGGATTCAGTTCTAGCATTTACATCAACTTTTGCTTCTATTAAAAGTTGAAGGCATTTCAAAGATATGTCAGGTGATTTTTCCACGGAGGAACATAGTTCCATCAAAATTGTGTTTGAAGTATCTGTATGATTCCATATAAAATTATAATAAACTCACACAAAACTTGCAATAATAAATTAAACAAAATTAATCTATACTTGTAGGCCTGTTAGGATCTGCACCATGTTTTAATAGATACTCTATTATATCTAATTGTGTGTTTTCAGCTGCATGTGATAATATAGGCTTTCCAGTATGCAAAAGATCATTAATATCATACTCTGCAAAATTATTTTATCTTCTTTTAATAAGAATTTTAATAAGATTATAGTTTATCATTGAACTAAAGTTTAAGCAATATATATAACATTAGTATAACTACATAAGGAAGAAAATATATCTTGAAAACTAAATAGTGCGACAATAGTGATAAGTCTTACTTTTAAGATATTCTTGTATCATATCTAAGTTTCCCTCTTTACATGCATCTAACACACGATTTTCAAAGATTCTTTTTTCATCATACAATTGCCTATAGTTGTAGTTAATGTTCTTCTTTGAACTGCTCTAAAAAAATATATAACAATACATAATTTGCAGTTATAGTTTAATAGAAATTGCATACAATCGAGCATACCACATCTGAAAAGTAAAAATCGTCATCGTCTTCTTCTTCATCGGACATACCGCCAGGCATCAGATTCATTATGATAATATCTTAATAAGAGAATATCTTAATAAAATAAACGTGTTATTGCTTTCTTGACTGCTAAAATATTTCAATCAGAGTATAAACGCTCTTCTTGGCAGTGGTGTATTCGAGCCCGCAAGCGCGTTTTTCTTCTCAACTTTTTTTTCTTATAGAGGATGCATACTACGCATGTGGCCAGAAGTCACCCTGTCTTATTAAGAGGGAATTACGTAACAAACGCGCCCGTGTATGTACATGTGCATTCTGCACTTAGGCCGGTATTCATAATCCGATCTTATATTTAAGATTATCTTAAGTATTGTCTTAAAATGGCATGAACCAATGACAGAGCCGTATTTGCGATTAGGCGACAGTTTCCCGAAAAGTGGAGGGGATAATGTTGGTACGAAGAAAAATCTCTACACAATATAATTTAAAGATTCTGTTCTTTGTAACTGCACTGCTAAATTGGTGCAATAAATTGAAATAAGGCAAGTATACGTTTTCTCACTCTAACCTTTTGCATTAGTTCAGCAGTGCAGTTACAAAAAACAGATCTTTAAATTATATCGTGTAGAGATTTCTCTTGGTACCAATATTATCCCCTCCACTTTTCGGGAAACTGTCGTCTAACCGTATTCGGGAGCGTTCCGATTAACCACGGTACGATTGGACACAACCAACCGATGAAAAGAATTATCTAGTGAATTACTAGGTCGAACCAATCATTACAATCTGTGTCCAATCGTATCATGGTCAATCGGGTCCCACCCATCGTATTCGCATCTTAAGACATTACTTAAGGTTGCCGTCCCATTGAGCACGGATCGGAACGCCGGATCGGATTTCTTACTATAATGAGCGTTCCGTTCTCTAGTTCCGTTCCGTAAAAGTTTCCTCTACCAGTCCCATGTAGCAAAAACGGAACGGAATGGCGCGTCGGTCGCAAATAAATATGATTAATTCGTCAATATTTCGTTATTTTGACGCGACAGAATTAATTATATACATAATTTATGCAATTATCTTGTCGATAACTTGTCATGAATATTCTGAAATATTTAATTGAAGAGTGAAATATATTTTATAACTAGAAATCCGTTCCGTTTTTGCTACATGGGACTGGTAGAGGAAACTTTTACGGAACGGAACTAGAGAACGGAACGCTCATTATAGTAAGAAATCCGATCCGGCGTTCCGATCCGTGCTCAATGGGACGGCACCCTAAGACGATCTTGAAATAAGATTCGACTATGAATACTGGCCTTATATATATTGTATTATATA